TGACTCATTACCTTTAAGAGAGCTTAAATGGGGCACTGAAAAAAAAAAATGGTAGATGAAGATCCTTAGCAACAGTGCTACCCGTGACAGATGAGCCCAGTGAAGAGGGAAAGGAACAATAGCTTCAAGGTGTGGGCTGGAGCCAAGTGGTAGAGATCTGCCTTGCATGCCCAGTGCCCGAGGTTTAATTCTTAAATTGGAGGGAGGTAAAAACTGGCGTAATATGGAAGATGTTAGTACTAAGGATGGAAGGCGACACCAACCCAGACGACTACCGCTGCCAGCCTGGAACTCAGTGAACAGGAAAGCAGTCTTGAAACACTGGCCATGAGTTTTTCACTCCATCATTGCTGTTCCCCCTTGCTCGATACAAGGGTATTCGGTAACCAACACAAGTGCATCTCTGTCTGGGAAAAGCAAGAGGCAGAAGCAGAGTCTGTACTCTCCATGTGGGACTCTTTGGTCAGCCTTTGCTCAAGAAAAGTACTATATCCTTGTCTTGTGTTCAGGAAGACAACCATTGGGGTTGGGGAAAATGTAGACTAAATTTTATCCTCTGAGCTTATTGGCCTCAATTTCTTCATCTACAAGTCAAATCAAAAACTTCTAACAAAGCCTGGTATAGTGGTACACACCTTTAGTCCCAGCACTAGGGAAGCAGAGATAGGTGGATTTCTGAGTTTGAGACCAATTTGGTCTTGAAAAAAAGGAAGGAAGGAAGGAAGGAAGGAAGGAAGGAAGGAAGGAAGGAAGGAAGGAAGGAAGGAAGGAAGGAAATTCCCAACAAATTTAATCTAATAAATCTCTAGTATCTAACACATATTAAGTGTTTACTTAACCGCTATTGCTATAAGATACTTTAACAGTAGACAATGTACTTTACACAGAAACACACTAGAAACTGGACACCACCCAATAAGCCATTTTCCATCTTGATTTAGTATCTGATGATCAATGTAGCTCAAGACATTTTCCTATCAAACACCTAGATGAGTTCTATAACTTCTCCTATTTTGTTTCACTGCCCGTTTACATTAAAAGTTCAATTAATGGCCAGGCGGTGGTGCACACCTTTAATCCCAGCACTCAGGAGGCAGAGGCAGGCGGATCTCTGTGAGTTTGAGGTCAGCCTGGCCTACGGAGCGAGTTCTAGGACAGGCTCCAAAGCTACGGAGAGAAATCCTGTCAAAAGAGCCAAAAAAAGTTCAACTAATGATCTACTACAGGCACCAAATACATTAAGATATCCCTTGTTCCCTTTTGCCCTTCTCTTCACATATTTGTGAGTGTTGTGTGTTTGTGTTATGTTTATATGTACATGTATTTGTATGTGTGGGACCACATATGTTTGTACATGCATGTAGAAGCCCAAGGTTGCTGTTGGGAATCTTTCTGTATTATTCTTCTACCTTATCCTTTGAGGCAGGTCTATTACTCAAATTCAGAGCTCTCTAACTAGCCTTGTCTCACTGGCCAGCTCACTCCGGGATCCCTTGTTTTTACCTTCCAGGGCTTGATTAACACAGGGGCTGCCACACCCACCAACATGTCAGTGGGCTCCAGGGATCTGAACTCCAGTCCTTGTGTTTGTACAGTGCTTTGACTGCTGAGTCATTGCCACAGCCCTTCTACCTCTGTTTCCCACCCTGCCCTGAGATAAAAGCAGTATAAGGAATGAAGTTTTATTTGGCTCATGATTTTGGGTCATAGTTCAGCACTGTGGGAAAGTCAAGGCACCATCGACTTGAAGTAGCTCGTCACATTACATTCGCAGTCAAGAGCAGAGGGCAAGGAACTCATACCTTCATGGTAATCTCGGCTCCTTTTCTTCTTCTCATTTAGTCCAGGGTCCCCACCAACAAAATGGTGTTACCACATTCAGAGGGAATCTCCCCAATCTCAATTAATCCAATTAAACTCTCACAGGCTTAGCTAACCTAGACATGCTTTATAAAGACTACCTGCCCAGGTGATTCTACAGAATCTGACAGTCAAAAACAGACACCATGCAGCCCTTGTTCTTACCAAAGGTTGCACACTACTCTGCAATTTGCTCCATTTGATGGAGCTGTAAACTTCCTTGTTGTACTTTAAACATTTTCATATTTTAGAAAATACTGTTGAGTCAAAGGATAGCCAATTTTTGAAGGCTTCCAAGAAATTATTGGAGTGGCCAACTAATGACTGGTCCAGCTTGAAACCCATACTATGAGAGGGACCTGTGTCATCCATGACACAGCTTAGAGGGCCAGGACCCGAGGCTGGACAGCCCAGAGACCAAGGATAGAACCAAACATATCTGGCAAAAAAAAAAGAAAGTCAATGAAGTGACTCCTAATGGTAGTCTGTTCGACTTGTAGATTCTTGCCTAGCTCAACTGTCAGAGAGACTTCACCCAGCAACTAATGGGAACAGATGCAGAGACCCACAGCAAACATCAGGCAGACCTCTGGAAATACTGTAGAAGAGGAGGCATTAGGAAGAACTCTGGAAATCCAGAGAAGAAGGGGAAGAAGAATTATAGGAGCTAGAGGGAGCACGGACACCACAAGAAAACCTGCAGAATCAACTAAACTGGGCTCATAGGGGCTCACCAAGACTGAGCCACCAAACAGAGCTCTTACATGGGACTGACCTAGGCACTCTGCACATTATACTAGAGCTGTGCAGCTTTGACTTCTTCTGGGACTCCTAGTAGTGGGAGCAGGAGCTGTCTCTGACTCTGTCACCTGTTTTTAGGACTCTTCCCTTCTACTGGGTTGCCTCATCCAGTCTTAATAAGAGAGGAGGTACCTAGTCACACTACAACTTGAAATCCCATGGCTTGCTGATATAAATGGGAGGCCTTCCCTTTTCTGAAGAGAAAGGAGAAGGAATGAATGGGAGGGGGTAAGAAGAGAGGTTGTGGGAGGAACTGGGAAGAGTGGAGGAAGGGGAAACTGTCACTGGGATGGGGAAAAAAAATAATTAATTTTAAAAAGTAATAATAAAATAGAAAATACTATTGAATCAAAGGTTAGTCACTTCTTGAAGGCTTCCAAGCATAATCCTAAAATGCTTGCGATGCAAGAGGACTAACCAACATACTTGCCAATAAAATCATTTAAAACAGAATGTTTTCAAGTTGCTGTTACCACTTAAACAGAAGAGTAAGCTCATAAGGCCAACAGGTGAGCATGTGACAGAGAACTCTGTATGTGCTGCATCTCCACAGCTCTTGCGGTCTCTAGCCATCTTTACTAAGAAGCACTATTCCCCTGTCTGGGGTCTGGTACGGGAAGCTCTTCATTCAGACTTCCGGGTAACCATACTTTCTATCCTGGTGGCTTCCCTAATTTTCTCCTGAGAAACTTTCCTGCACCCATTTCATACAGTATTCTAGAACTATCAAAGCATGTTTTTTTTTTTTTTTTCCCTCTGTGGGCCCAGCCTATATTCACTGGATGGTATAGGTATCTTTCCTGGGAATCTGACTCTGCAGGAAAGACAGGCAAGGGCAGCTCTGTGTCATCCTAGCGGTATCCAGAAGACCCTTCCTTGTTGGTTCCTGCATCCCCGGAGCGGATCTGCCTGCCAGCCTGTGCCTTCATCTGCTACATCACTAAGTCACACTACAGCCTTCCATGCTGCTTCACTGTTAAACTAAGAGTTTTGCTCCCCCACCCCTTCAGCAGGTCACCTCAGAAGCTTTAAACAATCTGCTTAAATGGGGGAGTGGGGTTGGTGGTGGAGGGGCAGGCAGAGCTCTACTCCATTTCCTTGAATATTTACTTGAAAGCTTTTCTTTATTTAATTTTTGAAGAGAAAACAAAGCAAAACAAAGCCCGGTTTTCCTGTTATTAAAGTTGCTTTTGGCAACTGTGGCCATTACGGGTCACTTAATATTTTATCCGTATCTTCTGGCAAGGGCTAAAGACAGAGCTCAGTCGGTAGGGTGCTTGTTTCTCATCTACAAAGTACTGGGTTCAAGGCCCAGCACTGCATAAAGTAGGCATCACTGTGCACACCTGTTATCCCAGCAACTCAGGAGGGAGGCAGAAGGATCAGAAGTTCATCCTTGGCTGGGTGCTTGAGGCCAGCCTGGGCTAAAGACCCTGCTGCTCGTTTGTTGTTGTTTTAATGGTTTGGCAAAGTCTTTGTTTCAGAAAGAATAAAAGAGAAGAATGTGTTTCATAATGGCTAATGGCTTTCAATCAGTACAAGTGAAAAGGCTCACCCTTGTGTCTACCCAGAGAGCACTGCTCTGCTCCACTCATCTCCTGACACTACTGTGGGGCATGGCAGGGCCACCGCTCAATATTTTCAAGTAGATTTTCTAGAGCAAGGCTGAGGCCAGAGGCAGGGTTTCCTTTGACACTCGGGGCACCCGGGAAGGAGTTTGCTTTAGTCTTAGGCTCCAAAGAGATAATCAGGTTGAAGCACTTGCCCAGCAGGGGTTTCCTTTTAATCCCATTGACTTTGCAGTTACAGGTGCCCTTGGAAGAGGTGATGAAGCACCATGCTGCTGGCCTGCAGCAGGGGAAGGGCTGCTTTCCACAGAGGCAGCCCAGGGCCCTTCAAAGAACGGTATCCCTTCCCCTCCCAGTCTTCCCTCTCAAAGAGCCACAAAGGAAACAGAATTAGCAAGCCATCCTCCTCCTTTGCTATGACCATTTCAGGGCTGGCAGACAGTGCCAGGGGCTTTCTGGCAGCACTGGACTCTTGGTTTGCTGAGTATTGAGCAACTTATAAATAGTGACTGGGGCTACCATCTTAATAAGAGATGCGACCACCTGAGATAATGCGTATAAGAATATTATACGGAAAGTATGAAGCTTTGTTTAAATGCAAGAGGTCACAACAGTCTTGCTAATCTTGCTCAGGAAATAATCCTCTGAAGTGAGGCTGACCCAGCATGCCCAGGGCACCTCCTGGTGGCTCAGGCCTGAAGTGGCAATTCTCAGCGCCTCCCTCCTGCCCCCAACTCTGACTATAGAAAATGACCCAAACATTATACTTACTTCCTTCATTCTGGCTGTCTTTGTTTGAGTTGTAGACCTGGAAAATAGAAAAAGAAATTCACTTTGTGTGCATTATATACCAGCCTACAGATTCACTGTAGCCCCAAGACAGAAGGCAATTTCTGCACCCCTCATGAGAACATCCTAAGTTCTTACTCCCCAGCATGCACTTAGCTGTTCTCAAATAAGCACGGGTCAGAACCACCTGTAGAACTGTGCAGTGTGGTGGTAGTGGGGGTCAGCTGATCTTTTTTAAATGGCAAACAAATTGATCTGCATATATAAATTAAGAGAGTGTAAAGTTGGTTGCAGATCAGTGACTACTGACTGCACACCAGACAATGTTGTAAGTATTTCACAAAGAACTATCTCCAGCTACATAAAAACCATGCTTGGCAAGAGCAGTGGCTACCACTGTTGTAGAGCTGGAAAACATGAGGCTTACAAAGGTAGAATGGGGTTTTACAGCGAGCTAAAGGCAAAGCGTGGTCAAAGATACATTACAAACGGTTAAGTGCTAACCCTGGGAATACCAGGGCCACTTTACTCTACCTGTAGATTTGAATGTTATACTGAGAATGTATTTACAACAAAACCCCTTAAAGTGTTGATAGAAATCATAAAAGAGAACGGGGTTTGACAGTAAAAAGGGAAGTTTCCCACTATAAAGCAGACAATGACGTGCTGCAAGTTATTCTGCAAAGGTCAAGACAATAACATTCAGGCTCTGAGTGCCAGGAGGCAAACATCATTATTATGTTGCTTAAATATCATAAGAGAAAACAATTTTCACAAAATTAAAAATACAACTTTTGAGGGGGGTGGAGAATCTAATTAGCAGAACCAATATTCTTTGCCTGTGCTGCAAAGAAAGGCTGGTACTCGGCGTCCCTCAAAACTGGTGACAGGTCTCTACCATTTGTCAATTGCAAAAAATACCCTGTAAATACCACACGTGACCCATGGTCCACTCAAAAGCAAAGGAGACGCTCGCTTTGGTGACTGCCACAGATTGCCTATTCCTGACATGCTGCTGCTATTAGGAGAAATGCAGTGAAATCTCTGCTCAGGAAAAGGAAACAATCATGGGGCCAAACCCTCCTCTGCAGGTATAGAAAGGCATGGGGTTAAACTGGCCATCATAACTTAAACACCTACTTATTTAATCAACTATCCCCAGGGATTCTGTTGGCCACTCTCAGCTAAGAAACGTTATTTAACTCCTAAAAGAACTAAGCCAACCATTTCTGAAAACACAGCATTAAATTCCCCCTATAATTAGTTTTCCACTAAAACGTGTAGGTGGGACTAGCTAGTCAAAAGTGGGGCAATGGGTTCACCTTGGACAGAGTTGGCCTTACCTTCTTTGGTTCCCTATGTCTCTATAAAAAGAAGTTGCCCAAAAAGTCTCAGGATTATCAAACCCCAAATCCAAGAAATCACCTACTTTGTTATATTTATCACACATATTGTTATATTTATTCTTTAAAGAAGACTGAAGGCACACCGCCCCTTAACAAAAACTAGGCGACAAGCCCTTAGGAAGGATGCTCCGATACCTAACCATCCATGCACACACTTAAAATCCTAGAAACAAGGCATCAAAAGACTTCACCACCAGTCACTTGGTTAGACTGGATTCTCATGTCCTCATCTCAGAAATGGGGGTGATAATAGCTGTCTGGCATACTCCTCCCTCAAACTGCTGGGAGTACCCGGTGAGTTTGTGTCAACATAAGACAAATGAGGGTGTTTTGGCCTGTTTCTGACAATAAGAATGGCTCAACAGTCACAGAATTTGGGGGAAAGAAAGAAGCCCACAAAGTCTAGGGGAAGGCCACCACCAAGGCTGTGCTGATTCCTATCTGAGACTAAAGCAGCAAGTGGCCCTCTGAGCAGCCATTCATCACTGGCATAAATGAACTGCCTGGGTTGGCTCAGCATTTGCTAATGAATCTCCATGACACTGTAAGGAGGTGACAAAGGAACTTAGAGAGCAGCAGGTAGCCAAATGCCATGTCCTTTGGCTTCCATGGGTTTTATTTACATGGCTATCAAACAAGGGATACTGGCTTTGAATTATTCCCAGTCCCCTGCATTCCTTTGTTAACAAGTGTTTATTGAGTACCTGCACCAGCCAGGCAGTGACTTAGGTGTTGTGGATACAGATGGAGAGCAGCTATGAGCTCTGCTCACATGGAACTTTCCTATCCATGAAGAAAACCAATGTACAAATATGATTCCTTCAAACATTGACAAGTACAATGAAGATCAGAAAACGAGGCAGTGTGGGTCTGGAATTTCCGTGAGTTTAAATGATAAAAGGGGAGCTCCATAGAAAGGTCTAGGTACCCAAGTCCAGGGGTCCTGAGATAGGAAAAAGACCTGCCTGATGGAGGAAGAAGGTCAGTGTGGTTTGCGATTGCTACACGGCAGAGAAGCATGAGAAATAAGGGCAAGACTATGAGGGTCAGCGGGTCCCTATCAGGACCTTGTTCAGGGAGAGGAACGGGTGATCAGGTGGCATCCAGAACCAGCAACCCATCATGACTACATTCAAGAAGCTTGGAAAGCAGAGCAAGGACAACACAGGCAGAGACAGCATTTTGGCAAAATTGTTTGTTTTTCCTTCCAGCTCCCCTTGATCACTGCATTTCTCCCATTCAATCCAAACATTCTATCCAAGAGAAACTAGTTAAGATTGTAAATGGCAAAATCCAGAAGGAACAGTGAAACACTGGGCTTTCAGCCCTCCTTAATTAAGAGGCAAATCCATGCCAAATTACTTTCTTTCCAGGTTTCCTGAGTCTCGGGAGACCCCTGCCTGGAACACCCAAGGACTCTTTGAGCTGGAGAGGTGTGATCAATGAGCCAAAGACGCCAGAAGCCTTCTCTACCCAACCCTCCAAGGCCAAGCCATTAATCTCTGCCTGGTCTGGTAAATGAGCCAAAGACAATGAGTTTTGAAATAAGGCTAACAAACCAATCCTGCCAGGACTATGTGATCACATCACCCAACAAGATAGACTAGGGCAGGCAGCAACCTCACCATCATTGGGACCAGATAGAGACATGGGAGCAGCACTATAGGATAGCTTTGTAACCCAAACACTTACCAAGTGTCAAACATGATAGCACCCAATTCTTGAAACAGCAAACAGATTAGCTTAATTGTCACTATCATTTGTATATATGATATATATACAAATATATATATATCATTGTATATGTTTGAAACCTGAGGCTCAAAGTGTATCCAAGGCCACAAAGCCACTTAGGTCCTCTGCAAGGATATTTCAGTCCCCTTTACCAATCCAGGCAGGAGTAAATATGTGTAAGTACCATGCCTCCCCAGTGGTCAGCACTGTGACTCACACACTAGTAGAAGAAAAGGACCTCCACTGCACTATTTAAAATGCTTGGCCAGTTCTGCCTTATCCTTCTTCCATCTGTCTCATGGCTGCCCACTAACATCATACTGAGGCTCAGAGGCCAGAACAATATCCTGAGTTAAGAGATCTTTTTGTCTGTGGCTTTTGTCTTGTGACTAGCAGTTATATTGGGTATGTGCCTTCAGGCATGCCTCTTAAGAACTCTGTCTTCACAGGGGAAAGCCCAGCTCAACTCAAGGGAACAGAGAGGTCAATAGATGAGGCCTGAGTTCTGGCTCACAGGTAGGAAACAGTGCACCTTTTCAACAACACAGGTGAAGCTGAAGTCTGTCCGTCCAAATTGGCCAGAGTGCTCCACGACCCAGGCATAGAAGAGTATCTGAACCCTGTGGCACTAATGAGTCTGAGGCAGGCATGTTCTGAACATGAAGACTTGGTAAACAGCCATGCCAATGAGTACTTTATTTTCACACACGTTTCTAGAGAATAGAAATTGCATGTGTTTATCTTATCAGAGTCCTCTGTGAGTCATTAAGTACAATCCCAACAGACATAAGAATTTTAAGCATTCTATAGGCATTGTCTGATTCTGTCCTCACACCACCCCAGTTATTCCCAGTGCCGACGGTGCAACTGAGGATGTAGAGGCCCAAGGTTAGTTCCTGGAGTTGAGGAAACTACTAGGAAAAGTCCAGTCTGTCTCCCAAGCCCAGGCACTTACCCACAAGCCCCGTGACACAGAAGACATGGTGACGCTAGTGAAGGTGATAAAGGTAAAGAGATATCAAGGGCAGCAGAGCAAGTGAGTCACGAGAACAATTGGCCCTGAGTCAGAGAGAAACTGAAACTGAGAATCGGCTTTGGATTCGGGCCTGATACACCTGCCACGGGCCCACGGAGTGACACCATGTCCTCTCCGAACCGGGGAACTCCATCCTGACATAATCACCATACCAGCAACGCAGGACCTTCACCCAATCACAGGGCCCTGTGAGTCCCCACATCCTGACCAAGAAACTACAATGGGGAGACAACTGAATAAATAGGAAGGTACAGAAAGCCTTCATGTGTTTTCTCTGCAACAAATATGAGTTTGCAGTAAATTATCTAAACTGCCAAGCCAATTCAATTTACATGTCCCCAGAGAATTAAAAGGAAATGCACAAAGTCATTTGGGTTCTCAGAATGTTTCTGTGTGTTACCTTTCAGTACCATTAGCTAAGCCATATTGTGAAAGCACAAACAGGTACTTTTTAAAAAATACACAAATGAAAGCACATGTAAAAACAATAATTAGGTGAACCAATCTGACTTTTTCTTTGGACAAATAGCTGTATTAGTACTTGGCCACACACTTCAGATCAAAATCTTTTCAAATGAAGGCATCAGAGAAATAGGCTCACAGACAAACTTGTTTAAAACTATTGGTCCGACATAAATTGTACTATTTCACCTGAACTCAGTCCCAAACTCTGATTCCCTGAGGCCTCTTCCAAGCAACCTAAGATATGTAAGCTCACCCCACCTGTATATTCCCCTGTATATCAATGTGGAGGTACAATAAACAAAGTTATGAGTCAACATCTTAGGATAGCGCTCAGGCAGGGTCTGTATCTACTAGACATTATCAGGTCCTTTATGTGTG